GTCAGGAAATTTCTTCTTAATTCTAAGTTCTTTCTCTCTCTATATATATTCTCTCTCTTTATATATTTCTCTCTATATATATATTTATTGTTGTTTCTCTCTATATATATATTTATTGATATATAAATAATATTAATATAATGATACCAAGGCTCCTGCTTATTCTGTTATCAATCAATAGTAATAGTAATAGTAATTAACCTTCAGTTTAATCCAAAAATCTGTGGACACCAAAGGGATAGCATTGGCATTAACAAAATCACCATCAATGAGTTGCAAAAGGCTGCTTTACTTGGAACAGTTTACATCCTTTGATGATATATTTAACGCTATCAAATAACAATATCTGGCAATCCCAGATCAATGCCAAATTCAATTGCAACATCTCACTGTCTATGCAACCAACTAAAATATGTTAAATTTGTTTGCTATCCAACTCTCAATGACCCTGGGCACATACAACATTCAAAGATAAAAAGAAAATACAATTAAATCAATTAAAAATATCTCCTACTAACCATTAGGGAGATAAATGCTTCTACTATCCACAAAAAGTGTTTTTATGCCTAATTTTACTGCTTTCAAGATATTCTTTGATTAAATATTTGTTGTGATAAGGAATCACTTTGAAGCGCCACACCTCTTTTCTGTTGAGTCCTTAGCCTTACCTGAGGCTGTCTGTCCCCAGAGGGCTATTAATATACCCCTTGCAGATATTCTAGTTATTTTGTCCCAGCTGAAGACTGCTAAGAATATAAAACAGGACCAAAGTAGCAGAGCAAACACATCCACTTAGATTGAAAGACATTTGCTTCTAGCTGAAGTTCTTCCTGTGTAAATCTATGGAGGTCCCTATCTCTCCCTTTCTTTATAATTCATAAAAAAGAAATTCTTCAGATTAACTTATCAAAATTTACCCAGGGAGGGTTCAAATCTCTGAAAATAGTGGTTGAGTTGAGCATTGTACAATTTCAATTACATCTTATCATGATTAAAGGTTAGCACGTAAATAGGTAGTTGTTCAGTGTCTGAATTACAACACAATCACTAAAACCACTTCATAGGGACAGCCACTTGTCTGAAATGGTACAGAGTCTTCTGCTTCAGCAGAGGGTTAGACTACAAGACCTCCAAGATCCCACCCTACTCTATTCTGATTGACTCTGCAGTCCTGGATATACGGAGTTTGTGCAAAATTTCTAAATAGTTTGATGTGAAAAATCAAGAGCAGAAAATACTAGTTAAGCAGACAAATATTATTGCATTGGTCTAAGATCTACTAAATGTCTTACCTTTCTGAAACAATTGGTCCAAGTTCTTCAGATCTGATGAGAAGAAGATTACTGTATCATGTAATTGACTGCTACAGGGACTGACAATGGCCAAAGCAGAATAAGATGTAGAGAAAATATGACAAGTTTTAAGTCTTGTTTGACATATGTCAAGGAGAACCTGTCAGATGTGTTGTTGAAAAATTTATAGGATTAAATGTTGGACTATAAGATAGTTATAAGCAGATCTTTCCAAGAAAATATTCTTTCTGTTCTTGGACAAGGAAGCAGATCTTGCTAAAAGTGTCAACTTCTCTCTATATATTTTGTGTCTTGCTTAATCAGTGTGAACATCAAATGATAAGAAGCTCTGGTTCCTGTTTTTGCAGGCTAATCACCAGCCATAGAAGGAGGGGATTGCCCATAAACGTGGGCAGCTCTTACAAAAAGGAAAAAAAAAAAAGTTTATTTGAACTGGACTGGTCTTCTCATCTAAGAAGATTTATCATGAACCTGTTCCTAAATCTCTGATCTTCATCCTAAAGGTTGAAAAAAGGGCTAAAACAAAAAAAAAAATCAATTGAGACTTATGGGATTATCAGGATATAAATATGGAATATTTTAATATGAAATATCAAATACAAAAATACATAGTTACTAGAAAAACAGTTATTATTATACTTGCATTTCCCTGGGACAGATTAAGTGTTCCAAAATTATGACACATCGGAAAGTAATGGACCAAGGTCTTCAAAGTCGGAGAGTGGAAGATTATTGTCCTGATAATGAAGGTTGAATTGATTGGCAATGGCAGATCTGTAGAAAAAATGTGATAAAGTTTTATTTAGATGACGTTCAGACAGTTCATTGACAAGAAAGAAAGTCCACTTCCGGTCCACCAGAAATGGCATGGATGCACTTCCAGAGGGCCATTCTGGACCTTGGAGGCCTCCCTGGCTCAAAATGGATTTCCAAAAATGGCGTCCATGCACTTCTGGTGGGTCCATGCACTTCTGAAGTTTTCTGTTCGGTCTGTAACTTCCACGGCTATCAAGTTCTACAGGCAACTCTTTGAACATTGTCACTCGTGATGGGTGAGTGGGCTTTCCTTCTTGTCAATGAACAGTCTGAACCTCATCTAAATAAGTATCACATTTTCTCGGCAAATTTGGTAGAGCCAATCACTTCAACCAGTGGTGGGATTCAGCCAGTTCGCACCGGTTCAGTAGAACCAGTAGCTAATTTTTTGTTGACTTCGGCGAACTAGCTGATGCCTTACCCCCTTTTCACAAGGCTCAGACGGACTGCTGAAAGTGCATGGGTGACACTTCCAGAAGTCCATTCTGAGCCAGGGATGGATTTCTTCCAATCATAAGGAAAAATTCCAATATATTGAATCTCTTCCTGCAACGGCTCAACTAACAGGAAAACAAACAGCTGTTACCAAATGACTGCAGCACCTTCTACCAACAGCACCCATGAATCTGAATGAAACACAGTTGAATCAAGGTTGAATAAGAAAAGGTTCTGCACAAATCTAGAGATGAAGATTAGCCATTTAATACAGTATATATGGAGTCACTTAATGCTATAGCAAGAAAAGTCAAATATAATAGAACTTTGAATGGTCACTAAACAAATGGTTATAAGTCAAGGACTAGCTGTATATATATATATACACACACAGGCAAATATTTTATTATCAAATAGATTTCTCATTCAGCCATTTGACTGAGCCCGAACAAGTAATGAAAAAATTTCCTTGACAACTCAAGGACCACAAAAAGATTTTAAGAATAGAATAAAATAGAGGTGGAAGTGACCTTGGAGGTTTTCTAGTCCAGCCCCCTACTTGAGCAGGAGATCCTATACCATCTCAGACAGGTGACTGTCTAGTCTCTTCTTAAAAATCTCCAGTGATGGAGCATCCATGATTTCTGAAGGCAAACTGTTCCACTGGCTGATTGTCCTCACTGTCAGGAAGTTTCCCCTTAATTCCAGGTTGCTTCTCTCCTTTACCAGTTTCCATTTTCTCATCCTTCCCTCTGGTGCTCTGGTGAACAACCTAACCCACTCTGTCTTGTGGCAGTCTCTCAGATACTGAAACACTGCTATCATGTCTCCCCTATTTCTTCTTTTCTTTAGACTAGCCAAACCGAAGTCCTGTAGCCGTTCTTCTTGACCATCTTAGTTGCTCTTCCCTGATTTTTTTCCAAACTCTCAACATCTTTTTGTGATATGGGGACCAAAATTGGCTGCAGTATTCCAGTTGTGGTCTTACTAGGGCTTTGTAAAGAGGTAATAATACTTCTATGCCTCTGTTTATATAACAGAGGAACGGGGAAAATTGTTCTCCAGACCATATTTCTTTTCAGGAGCTATAATTAGATAGACCATTAGCTAATTAATAGAGGAGACCCAAGAGGAAAACTTCAATGACAGTTGGATTTCTCAGCTGATAAATGGGACTTTGACCACTGAGGAAGGGATCCAGCTGATCACAGTCATTCAATTGTGCAGTCTGTTCTTTTGTTTTGATACTATTTTCCCTTTAAGGTTTATTTCCCCTCTTTGGTCATTAGAAATATAAGGATGGGGATGGTGAAGTTTAACCTCTCTCCCTGGGGATGCCTTTCTGGCCATGCTCCTTCAGAGCACGTAGCAAAGGGCTTGAGTTCAAATCCTGTTGTGAGAATCCTTCCACTGCCTTCCCATGGCCAGGTATATCAACACTCAAGGAATCGTCAGACGGTGCAAAGCCTCTGGAGCAATTATGGTTTAGCAATTCCTAAGCTGTGTGGTGTTGGGTCCCTTATCCCCTTCTTCCAAATTGTTTCTGACATAGAAGTTGGTGCAGAGGAAAGATCACCTGGTGTCATTTGTTCTTTCTCCATTCTGTAACTGTTATGTACAACTTCATACTAGTTTTCTTTACAATATTTTATTAAGTTTTTTCAGGGTAGGGAAAGACAAGGATCGTTATGGGTGGTGGGAATCCGGATAGGGTTCAGGGAAGAGTTTGGGGTAGGGATGGATACAATAATGGGGTTACCCCCAATAACATTTCACGCTTTAGCAAGCAAACTATCTTCCGGATATAGGTATTCAAGCAGGCTAATAGAATAATCAGTAAGTTTAGTCAACAAGAATAACAGAAATTATAAAACATATCAATTAATCAAAAGAAAAAAAATCAATCATCTTAATAAATTTCAGTTTCGTTATCTCACTTTGCTAGCCATTGATAAAAATTTTCCCATGTTTTATAATAGATTGAGTCTTCTTTCTCTTAAATCTCTAACATTAATCTATCCATTTCTGCACATTCTAAAATTTTCCTAATTATAATCTCATCCGGTAGTATATCTTCATTTTTCCAGTATTGGGCAAATACTATTCTCGCAGCTCTCAATATATGTAATATTAAACACTCTTTCTCTTTCCCATAATTAGATCCTAATATTCCTAGCAGAAACAACTCTGGCTTAAATTCTATATGTATTTTAGTCATCTTTTCCAGCCATATATGAATCTTGTTAATTATAGTTTAACGCTGGAACAGAAGCCACTTCCTCTGGAGAGGAAAGAATCCTTTATTATACTTATAATCCTTTATTATATTTCTATAACAAGAAATACAGCTATGCACTCATAAGAGATAACCAGCATTAAAGAACAGCAGAAGTTTTACATTTACAGAGGGTTTGAAATTGTGTTTATAAACCTTTATCAGATTTCAGGAGCTTCGTCTTCCCTGAAAACTCTTTGAAAAATGACCTTGATGCTCTCCCTAGAGCGAGCTTTTTTCTTTCTCCCAACCAGAAAATAGATCACTGGGTTAACGCTGCAGTTTAGAGAAGCACACAGATTGGAGTAGAACTCTATTTCCTTAATATCAATCAAATACCACTTCTGAATAAAATAAATAATGAACACATAGATATATAATGGGAGTGTAAGAATAAGAAAACAGAGAAGAGTAATTAAGATCATCACTAAAATTCTTCGTGGTTTGAGCTGTTTTGATTTAAGACATATTTTGATGAATAGGATCACAGTAGAGGTTGTGGTCAATGGAAGGCAGAGCACAGCAGTCACGACCAAGTAGAGATTATAGAGGGTATAAGACATAATTAAATTACCAAGACTGCTGCTAATTCCCAGCAGGAGGAAAGATAAGATCCAGAGGAAGGTGCAGACAGCAGGGGAGAAATATTTTGGCCGGGAACAGCGATGCCAGATTGGGAAAAGGACAGACACGCATCGGTCCATGCTGATGGCTGTCAGAAGAAACAGACCATTGATATATGTAACATTGAAGAGAGAATAGAAGATTTGCTGGGAAATTCCTGGCTGTATAAAACCTATAAAAATGTCAATAAAATATATAGTCATAAAGATGAGACACCCAAAGTCGGCAATAGCTAAATTAAGAATCAATACTGTGAAAGGGTTTCTCTTAATTTGGAAGCCAAGCAGCCAGATAACAATTCCATTTAAAGGGGCTCCAATACAGCAGATGATCAATGCGATAAACACCATGATATTTTTAAAATAGTTGGATATTATTTGGTCTTTACGGAAAATTCTGCTATAATCATAGTCCAAATAATCTGCTGTAGCATTCATGTTTGCTAGGCTGAAATTCATCAAGAGATGCTTTTTTAATGCTTCAGTAATCTCTTCCTTTAGAGTGGAAATCTCTGTTTGAAAAAAAAGAAGAGCAGATTAGATTAAATAATTCATTGTCACATCTTCATATCTAAACACTTTTTAAATTACATTTTTATTGAGTAAACATTTAAAAACAGGTTGAACACAGTGTGACTTTTCTGGCTGTTATTTTGCCGTACATTCTATACCAGTGGTTCTCAACCTGTGGGTCGGGACCCCATTTGGGGTCGAATTACCATTTCACCGGGGTCGCAAAACCACACTGTCCGCCATTTTTTCCCTTTTCCCTAGCTGTCCTACTCCCTCTTATTGGTGGCCACACCCACTTGGGGGTCACCACAACATGGGGAACTGTATTATGGGGTCACGGCATTAGAAAGGTTGAGAACCACTATTCTATACCATATACCATATATCTCCCTAGTCATTGATTTTTTACACCATTTACATATTGCATTTTATACTATTTACATATTTATATATTTACATACATATTTACATCTATTTACAACATAACTTCCATTTCCATTCTTATTTCATATTCTTTCTGATCTCTAACTTACGCTGACTTTGAGGCTGGAAATCTACACTTTCTCTCTTCTAGACAAGCTTTCTTTGTTCTGACTTTTTCTCCTCAAGTCTAAGCAATAGTACAACTTATCCCAAACTTCATAATACTCTGTTTCATCCTTGTCTTTAATTTCTAGAGTTACTCTATCCATCTCTGCACATATCAAAAAAAAAAAAAAATTAATTAGTTCACTCTCCACCGGGGAATTTCCATTTTTCCAGTTCTGGGCATAGACCAACTTTGCTGCTATTATGATATGCAACACTAGATATGTCTCTCCATTGTTAAACTTCCCATCTATCATTCCCAGTAAAAATGATTCTGGTCTGAGATCTATCTTCAGTCCCAACATTTCCTCCAACAAAGTCTTTATTAGCCGCCAAAATTCTTTGGCTTTGGAACAAGCCAACCACATGTGATAATAAGTCCCTAACACTTTCTTGCACTTTCAATACTGTGGTGACATACAGGTGAAACTTGAAAAATTAGAAAATCATGCAAAAGTTCATTTATTTCAGTAATGCAACTTAAAAGGTGAAACTAATACATGAGATAGACTCATTACATGCAAAGCAAGATAGTTCAAGCCATGAACTATCTTGCTTACAGCTCAGGAAAACCCCAAATCCACAATCTCAGAAAATTAGAATATTACAAGCAATCAATAAAACAAGGATTGTACATAGAACAATATCGGACCTCTGAAAAGTATAAAGCATGTAATATGTACTCACTACTTGGTTTGGGCCCTTTTGCAGCAATTACTGCCTCAATGTGGTGTGGCATGGAAGCTACCATCCTGTGGCCCTGCTGAGGTGTTATGGAAGACCTGGATGCTTCAATAGTGGCCTTCAGCTCTTCTGCATTGTTCGGTCTCATGTCTCTCATCTTTCTCTTGGCAATGCCCCATAGATTCTCTATGGGGTTCAGGTCAGGCGAGTTTGCTGGCCAATCAAGCACAGGAACCCTTTGCAGATGTTATGGCTTAATTAGCTGATTAGAGTGGGACACTTTCAGTTAAAGAATATTGAACCTTTACACAATATTCTAATTTTCTGAGATTGGGGATTTGGGCTTTTCATGAGCTGTAAGCCATAATCATCTCAACTATGACACATCACGGCTTGAAATATCTTGTTTTGCATATAGTGAGTCTATCTCATACAATAATAATAAGAGTGTCTCTCCCATAAAAAATATGGTGAGACGTAAATTGCAGAATGCAACCAAGTAGTGAGTACATATTACATGCTTTATACTTTTCAGAGGTCCGATATTGTTCTATGTACAATCCTTGTTTTATTGATTGCTTGTAATATTCTAATTTTCTGAGATTGTGGATTTGGGGTTTTCCTGAGCTGTAAGCAAGATAGTTCATGGCTTGAACTATCTTGCTTTGCATGTAATGAGTCTATCTCATGTATTAGTTTCACCTTTTAAGTTGCATTACCCAGCTCGGACGTCACCTGGGTTAACAAGGTCCGCACTAGATATTGGAGTTCCTGGATATCTGGTGAAAAATGGGTTACAGGACTCAGGACTGTTGGCTGAGCAACCAGGGCCAGCAGCTGCAGAACTACTGGAAGAAAAGATGTTTACCCGTCGCAGATACACAGTGATGGAAAACAAAGAAATAATGATCTGTTACTTCAGATCAAGTCCAACAAGAAGAGGATATCTAAAATAAATGCACCAGTTCTGGAAAGAACAACATCCAGAATCAGAAATAACAGAACAGAGACTAGCAAACCAACGCCGATTTATAACACGAAATAAAATATTCACAGAAACAGAATTGGACGAACTGCAAAGGTTTACCCAGGGCAAAGAAATCAAAGCCTTACCAGAAGTAATTCAGAATGTAGAGGCAAACCAGAGGGAGTTGGAAGTGAAGGAATCTAGCAGAGATATACAACTGTTCTCATTTGGAAACCAGGCACCTCTACCTCAGGAAGAACAAATAAAAGAATTGAAACAAAGAATAACTGAGCATCTAGAACAGCACAAAAACAACAGAATAAGGCTACCTGCATTGAAGCTTGTTCAAAAGAAACAGCTAGCACAAGCATTAAAAGATGCAAATACTGCAATATCAAATATAAGCACCAATTCACTGCAAGAAACAAACCAACTAATGTACAGCACAGCTGCAGTTATAACAGAATACCTGGGATGCAAAATCAACAAAGAAGAAAAACAAACAAACAGTGCACCAGAAAAATGGAAGGTTAGACTAGAAAATAAGATCAGCAAGTTAAGATCACATGCAAGCAAGCTAGAACAGATGAAAGAAAAGAAGCTGAAGAACAAGAAGACCAAAGAATACCTAATCAAGAAATACCACTTAGAAACAAGGAAGATCAAGGAAGCACTGGAAATAATAAAGCAACAAATAACAGCTATAGCCAGGAAAATCAATAGATATAAAGCTCGAATTGCAAACTATAGGCAGAACCTCCAATTTCAATCCAATCAGAAACCTTTCTACCAATCCATCAATGGAGAAACTGCAAGGAATCAGTCAGTACCTGACAAGGAAGAAACAGTGCAGTTCTGGAAGCAGATATGGGATAACCCAAAGAAATACAACAAGGATGCGGCTTGGTTAAAAGAGGTGGATGCAAATAAAACAGAAGTTGAAATGAAAGAACTAGTAATAACAACAAAAATGGTAGAAAAAAGAGCAAAGAAAATCAAAAATTGGTCAGCACCAGGTGAAGATGAACTGCATGGGTTTTGGTTGAAACATCTAACTGTTATACACCCACTCATTGCCAAACAGTTCAACAATATACTACAAGGAGGAGAAATTGAAAAGTGGCTAACAACTGGGAAAACCTACCTAATAATGAAAAATCCAGCAAAAGGGGCAACACCAGGTAACTACAGGCCAATTACCTGCTTACCAACAACTTTCAAATTACTAACTGGTGTAGTAGCTGATGCAGTACAACAGCATCTAGTTGAAAACAATCTCTTTCCACCTGAGCAGAAAGGAAACCGCCCCAATAGCAGAGGAACAAAAGATCAACTCCTAATAGACAAAATGATCTTGGAAAACTGCAAGAGAAGGAAGACCAACCTGAATGTAGCATGGATTGACTACAAAAAGGCATTTGACTCTCTGCCACATGATTGGATAATAAAGTGCCTAGAAATAACAGGAGTCAGTAGAAACATCAGAAAATTTGTGCAAAGATCGATGGCACAATGGAAGACACAGTTGCAGATCAATGGTGAGAGGCTGGGAGAGGTTAATATCAAGAGAGGAATATTTCAAGGAGATTCATTATCACCATTACTATTTGTTATTGCACTGTTTCCTCTGTCAACAATACTGAATAACTCAGGACATGGCTATCAAACATCAAAAACATCTGCCAGACTATCCCACCTCCTTTATATGGATGATCTGAAGCTGTATGGAAAAACATCATCTGAAATAGAATCGCTGCTCAACACTGTCCGTATATATAGCCAAGATATTGTAATGGAGTTTGGCTTGGACAAATGTGCCACACTTACTATCAAACAAGGAAAAATAATGAAAACTGAAGGAATCAAGATGCCCCACGAAAATAACATTAAGAGTCTGGATGAGGAAGAGTACTACAAATACTTGGGTATCCTTCAAGCTGACAACATCAAGCACACTGAAGTCAAGAAAAAGATTAGAGGTGAATACATCAAGAGAGTGAAGAAGATCTTAAAATCCAAACTCAATGGAGGAAATACCATAAAGGCAATCAACACCTGGGCAATCCCAGTCATTAGGTACACAGCTGGAATAGTGGACTGGACTCAAGCAGAACTAAAAGCAATGGATAGGCAGACCAGAAAAATAATGACAATGAATCATGCCCTTCATCCACGCAGTGACATTGATAGACTTTATCTACCAAGGCAAATAGGTGGGCGTGGAATGCTACAAGTACATCAGATGGTTGAAGAAGAAAAAATGGCTTTGGAAGAATATCTGAAGAACAATGATGAAGATGCACTGAAATTAGTATATCAGGAAGGCTTACTAACTACTGGAGAGACCAAACTGGCCTACAAGAAAGACCAAATGAAGAACAGAATAGAGGCATGGGAAGACAAAGTACTACATGGCCAATACATGAAAAAAATAGCTGGGAAAGCAGATAATAATAAAACCTGGCAATGGCTAAGAGCAGGAAAATTGAAGAAAGAGACCGAGGGACTAATTCTGGCTGCACAAGACCAAGCCTTAAGGACAAATGCATACAAAGTCAAAATTGAGAAGACAGCAACAGACAGTAAGTGCCGCCTATGCAAAGAAGCTGAAGAAACAGTGGAACACTTGGTAAGCTGTTGCAAGAAGATTGCACAGACTGATTACAAGCAGCGGCATGACAAAGTAGCAACAATGGTGCATTGGAAGATCTGCAAAAAATATCATTTGCCTGTAAGCAAAAACTGGTGGGATCATAAAATAGAGAAAGTCATAGAAAATGATAAAATTAAACTGCTCTGGGACTTCAGAATTCAAACAGACAAGCACCTGCAACATAACACCCCAGACTTAACAATTGTCGATAAGAAAGACAAAAAAGTCTGGATAGTGGACGTGGCAGTGCCTGGAGACAGCAGAATAGACGAGAAAGAACTGGAGAAGATAACAAAATACAAAGACCTACAAATAGAAATAGAAAGACTGTGGCAAAAGCAAGCAAGGGTAGTACCAATAGTCATAGGCTCCTTGGGTGCAATCCCAAAACAATTGGAGCACCACTTGAACACTATTGGCATTGACAAATTCGCTATTAGTCAGTTGCAAAAGGCGGCCTTACTAGGAACTGCTTCCATCCTGCGACGATATCTGTAATACCATCAAACATCCACATCTGCCTATCCCAGGTCCTGGGTAAGGACTCGATAGGTAGACAAAATGCCAAATCCAGTCTGAACATCTGGCTGACTGTGCGATGATCCATAATAATAATAATAATAATGATAATGATAATAATAATAATAATAAAGTTGGAAGGGACCTTGGAGGTCATCGAGTCCAACCCCCTGCTCAGTCAGGAAACCCTACACCATTTTGGACAAATGGCTGTCCAGTCTCTTCTTAAAAACTTCGAAGGTTGGAGCATTCACCACGTCTGGAGGCAGGTTGTTCCATTG